ATTCAAGCACATAACACAATACCACGTTTTGAGAAACATGGTGGTAATGAGTTGTATCACATCAGACAAAAAGATTCCTCATTACAGTACTACGGCCTCTGCCCACTTCAGGCACCAGATTCAATTCCCTTTCCTTGACCTTATCTTATCTTATCTCTTATTGTTGTTATTGTTGTTTTCAAAAGATACATGCTAACAGGAAGAGGGAAAATTCAAAATTAAAATAACATCCTAACTCAAAGATACAGACTTGGTTGGAAAATAAAGGCAAATTATTGAAACAACAGATTTTTTTCTATAAAATCTGATTTTAGTCTCATTTGCTGCTTTTAACTGCTGATAAACATTTTGCATTAATTGGGTTTGACATATACACCAAACAGCCACCACTCATCTGTCAGTTTGTCTACTGCAGTGGCTTTTGAGTTGCTGTGATTCTGAAAGCTATGCCACCGGTATTTTAAATACCAGTAGGGTCACCCATGTTGGAAATGTTTCAGATGAGCTTCCGGATGAAGACAGACTAGGAAGAGAGAGTGGCAAACTACTTCCGAATATTTAGTAACTGAAAACCTTATGAATAGCAGAGAAACACTGTCCGATATAGTGCCAGAAAATTAGCCCCTCAGGTTGGAAGGCACTCAAAATGTGACTTGGGGAAGAGCTGCCTCCTCAGAGTATAGCTGACCATGATGATGCAAATGGAATAAAGCCTGTGGGAGAAAAGCCTGCGGGACCTTCTTTTGCTGATGGGGCACAAATCAAAATGAAGAGAAACAGCTGTAAACATGCACAGAAAATCAGAACATGGAATGTACAAAGTGTGAATCTGAGAAAATTGGAAGGTGTCAAAAATGAAATGGAACGTATAAACATCGATATCTTAGGTATTAGTGAGCTGAAATGGACTGGTATTGGCCATTTTGCATCTGATAACCACAAGATTTACTATGCCGGGAATGACAAATTGAAGAGGAATGGTGTTGCATTCATTGTCAAAAAGAACATATCCAGATCAGTCATAAGGTACAACATTGTTTGTGATAAGATAATATCAATGCGCATACAGGGAAGCCGAAGGAGCTACGATAGCGTAGTGGTTACGAATCGGGATGTGAATTGCAAGGTCAGCAGTTTGAAACTACTAGCTGTTCCGCGGGGGAATGATGAGGCTTTCCGCTCCCATAAAGATTTACAGCCTTGAAAACCCTGTACAGGGTCACTATGAGTCAGAACAGACTCCACAGCACACAACAACAACAACAACAGGGAAGCCCAGTTAATACCACTATTATTCAAATTTACGCACCAACCACTAAAGCCAGTGAGGATGAAATAGAAGAATTCTACCAACTTCTTTAATCTGAAATCGATCAAACATGTAATCAAGATGTATTGATCATTGCCAGTGATTGGAATGCAAAGTTTGGGAGCAAAGAGGTAGGGTCAGTAGTTGGAAAATATGGCCTTCACGACAGAAATGATACTCGAGAATGCATGATAGAATTCTGCAAAATCAATGACTTGTTCATTTCAAATACCTTCTTTAAACAGCATAAGAAACGACTATACACATGGACCTAACCAGATGGAATACACAGAAATCAAATTGACTACATCTGTGAAAAGAGACAATGGAAAGGCTCTGTATCATCAGTCAAAACAAGGCCAGGGGCATACTGTGGAACAGACCATCAATTACTCATATGCAAATTCAAACTGAAGCTGAAGAAAATGAAAAGAAGTTCATGAGATCCAAAATATGACCTTGAATATATCGCCACCTGAATTTAGAGATCATCGCAAAAACAGATTTGATACATTAAAAACACTAAAGACTGAAGACCAGAAGAGTTGTGGGACAACATCAAGGACATCATACAGGAAGAAAGCAAAATGTCATTAAGCAGTTCAAACAAGGAGGAAAAGGTCAAAATGGATGTCAGAAGAGATACTGAAACTTGCTCTCCAGCGTAGAGATGCTAAAGCAAATGGAAGAAATGAGGAAGTCCAAGAGCTGAACAGAAAACTTCAAAGATCAGCTCGAGAAGATAAAGCCAAATATTACAACAAAATGTGCAAATATCTGGACTCAGAAAACCAAAAAGAAAGAAAACACATTTCTCAAGCTGGGGAAACTGAAGAACAAATTCAAGCCTCAACTTTCGTTATTGAAAGATTCTCTGGGAAAATTATTGAATGATGCAGAAAGCATCAAGAGAAGATGGAAGAAATACACAGAGTCACTGTACCAAAAGGAAATGGTTAATGTTCAACCATTTCAAGAGGTAGCATATGATCAAGAGCCAATGATACTGAATGAGGAAGTCTAAGGTGCTTTGAAGGAATTGGCAAAGAACAAGGCACCAGGAATTGATGGGATAAAAATTGAAATCTTTCAAGCAAGTGAGGAGGCACAGAAGGCACTCACTCATCTCTGCCAAGAAATTTGTAAGACAACTATCTGGCTGACTGACTGGAAGAGATCCATATTGGTGCCCATTCCAAAGAGAGATGACCCAATGGAATGCGGATCTCTTTGATATCCCATGCAAGTAAAGTTTTACTAAAGGTAATACAGAAACGGCTACAATCATACAACTTCCAAAGGTTCAAGCTGGATTCAGAATAGGGTGTGGAATGAGGGGTATCATTGCTTATGTATGATAGATCTTGGCTGAAAGCAGAGAATATCAGAAAGATGTCTACCTGTGCTTTATTGACTACACAAAGGCTTCTGATTGTGTGGATCATGACAAGTTATGGACAACACTGCGAAGTACGAGTATTCCAGAACATTTAATTGTGCTCAGGAGGAATCTGTACCTGGACCAAGAAGCAGTTGTTCGAAGAGAACATGGGAACTGAATGGTTTGAAATTAAAAAGGTGTACAAGTTTGTATTCTTTCAACCATACTTATTCAACCTGTAGGCTAAGCAAATAATCTGAGAATCTGGGTTATATGAAGAAAAATGTGGCATCAGGATTGAAGGAAGACTCATTAACAACCTGTAATATGCAGATGATATTACCTTGCTTGCTGCTTGAAACATTTACTGATGAAGATCAAAGAGCACAGCCTTCAGTATGGATTACATCTCAATGTAAAGAAAACAAAAATCCTCACCACTGGACCAATAAACAACATTCTTATCAATGGAGAAAAGAGTTAAGTTGTCAAGGACTTCATTCTTTTTGGGTCAACTATCAACACTCACGGAAGCAGCAGACAAGAAATCAAACGACATATTGCATTAGGCAAATCTGCTATACAAGATCTTTTTAAAGGTCTTGAAGAGCATATTTGAAGAGCAAAGATGTCAGCTTGAGGACTAATGTGCACCTGACCCCAGCCATGGTATTTTCAATAACCTCATAGGCATGCAAAAGTTGGACAGTGAATAAGGAAGACCATAGAAGAATTGATGCTTTTGAGTTATGGTATTGGAGGAGAATATTAAAAGTGCCATGGGCTGCCAAAAGAACCAACAGATCTGTGTTGGAAGAAGTGCAGCCAGAGTGCTCCTTGGAGGCCAGGATGGCCAATCTTCACCTTTCATGCTTCAGACATATTGGCAGGAGGGACCAGTCCCTGGAGAAGGATATCATGTTTGGTAAGGTAGAATGTCAGAGATACAGAGTAAGACCCCCAACGAGATGGACTGGCCAAGTGGCAGCATCAATGGACTCAAGTGTGGCAACAGTAATGAGGCTGACCCAGGATCAGGCAGTGTTTCGTTCTGCTGTGCATAAGGTTGCTATGGGTTGGTACCGACTCAATGGCACATAACAAGAACAACATACACATTTTTTAATATGTGATTTTAGAGTTCTCCGAGTTCTCAGCTTTGAACATAAATAGATGTGAACAGAGAAATTGGTATTAATTTTTTTAAAGTATTGACTTCTATGTATTACTCTAAATGTTGTCATTGTTAAGTGCCGTTGAGTTGATTCTGACCCATAGCAACCCTGTATAGGGTTTCCAAAGAGCAGCTGGTGAGCTTGAACCACTGACCTTGCAGTTCAAAGGGATTTGCAGTCTGGCGCATTTACCCACAGCGCCACACCAAGATTCCATTACTCTATATAGCTTCACTTTATTTTTACTTATAATTTGATCCTTGGATTAATAAAAACCATCTCTCAGTCAGATACATGACACAAGAAATATCACAGCTATGAGGTCTGATGTAAATAAAAGTATGGAAAATGATTGAGTTAGCTGTGTACATTACGAATAGGGGTGGGTAAAGCACTCATCTGCTAGCAGAAAGGTCATTAGTTGGATCCCACCAGCAACTCTGAGGGAAAAAGAGATAGCAGTGTGCTTCCATAGCAATTCACAGCCTTAGCAACCCTATGGGGCAATTCTGCTGTGTCCTATACTGTCGCTAGGAGTGGTTATCAACTCAATACGACAGTGGGTTTGGTTATACACTATGTAAGGATGTTATCTCTCATAGTTGCTCTTATTATTATTATCAAGTCGGGTATGTCTAATAGTGATCCTGTATGGGTTTCTGAGGCTGTAAATCTTTGCAGGAACAGAAACCCTCATCCTTCTCCTGTGGAGTGGGTGGTAGACTTAAACTGCCAAACTTGTGGTTCACAGTCCAATGCTTATCCTGTGGAGCAGGATAAAATAATACTCTAAAAAAGTATGATATATTTAGAAGACTTGTATACATTAAAGCCCGATGTTATTTTCAGATAATAAAAGTGTTACACGGTCACTCAGAAATTGAGGACTAATGTGTCTCTAAGCAGTTACATCTGTAAAAAACCTGAAATAGAGGAAAATAATCTTTGACTTTCATATTCCAATATCATTAACAAATGATCTTTTAAGAAACTAAAAAAATATAGCAATTAAAGCTAATTGTAGACTGCAACATAAGGATCTTTTTCAGAAAATGTAGGGAAGCTAGTGAGGGGAGGGGGTTTCTTAAGAACTAAGTGGTGATTTCTTCTGAGAGAAGGTAAAGCCTGAGGTGACCTTGTTTTAGACATTTCAATAGCTGAAGATCTGTCTTCATCCTGAGGTGAACCAGCAATGTCTCCATCTTCAAAGGAGTTTAAGGTAATTTCACTTTGACATGGGGTAAACCAACAAGCACTTTTATAAACTGAAGAAAATCCAACAACCACAGCAGAAGATTGACTGGGACGGTGACTCCGAGGGTAATGGAAGTCTGCTGGCTCTTTACTTAGTTGGTCACTCTGTTCAGTATCACTGGCAAGGCTATTTTGAGGAAAAGCAGAAGAAAAATCAACTGGATAAGAAATGAGGGTTGCTGTGTTTTGGTAATAAGTGTCTCTATCAATATTTTCGTAGATTGAAGAAGTGTCTCTTATTTCAGGATCCATAAGACCTTTACTTTTATATTCAGCAGCAGAGAATTTTGCGTATTTTGTAGAATCAGCAATTCTTGGGTGTTTAGTAAATATCCCAATTTCATTTACAGACAAAAACTTCTGATTAGTTGGTTGAGCATCAAAAAAAGTGTTCTGGTGACAGGAAATTATACTTAGTCTCGGGGCTGAGAAAAATCTTGGGGCTCTAGTTCCATAAATGTTTGCAGGAGAGTTTACATCGTTGAAGTCTAATTGTACTTGATAATCAAAGTTAGCTCTGCTTTGTTGTTTAGAAGGTGAAGGACTGGATTTCCTGAATTTAGAGGCCAAAAAACGTCTTTTTTTAGATAAACACAGGAAAGCAGACATATTTGGATTAGAATACAAACTCGAACTTCTTTTAGAAGAAGTGACTCTGTGTGTTTCAGGACAATATGTTAAATGGCCAGGAGGCATATTTGGTTGAGAAACACTAGAGGCTCGATGGTACTGAAGATCTGTGGCAGCTTGCTCTTCAGAACTATATAGGTGGAAGTTCTGGTCCATGTTGCAGCAGCTAGAGTGAGAAAAGTGTGAAATGAGGAAAAAATAGAGAGCAGAGAAGGAGAGCGACTAAGCCTCCTGAAAAGTAATATCTAGCTTACCAATATGGAAACAGCAAGAAACATGAAAAACATAGTAGCTGAAGAAAACAGCCATAGAGAGGTACAGCAAAAGAATGTCTGAATCAGAAATATTACCTCTTAAATTATCTATATAGTACTTGCTCAGTACATTGAGCCTTAGGAAATTAAAGTTGAAAGATTCAGAAAAGTAGGCAGAAATAAACATCAGGAGGGACCTAGGGGAGGGTACCACACCTAAAGGAGCCCATGAAACAAAAGGCAGAATTTCCTTTAAAAATAAGTTTCAAAAATAATAAATGATAAAAGTTGTTTTAAACTACATTGAAAAGAGTTAAATGGAATAATACTCTGTTGATGGTTTGCATTCTAAAAATATAAACCATGAATGAAACAGAACCTCTGTGGAGAAAGTATGTCTGCTAAATATCTACATATTTCAGATATCTAGTTACTAAGGGAAAGGAAAGCAAGCATTAAAGCTTGGTTTAGGAATATTTGCCAGTGTCCTTTACCACAGGGAGTATGTGAAGGGTACTGGGTTTTTGTTTCTTCGTCTACTTATTTGGTTGCTGTTATGTTTCTTAACAACCTACCTTAAGCATTTTCCCATATTGTATTTAATCTAGAACCAATCTCTCCCTTCCCTTCTAGGCCATCATCTGAGAGCTGTGAAATGCCCCGTAGAGGTAGAACATGCCAGAAGACTGAATGGTTAAGCTGCTCGTGGAATTAACGTGACAATGGCACAGAACATGATGAAAGCAGACTCTAGAACCTAATGACATCAGTTTAGAAAAAGATTTTTCTGTGACTCATCTTTCTGAAAAGTTGCAATTTGAGTGACTGTGGAATGTTTACTGTACATACCTTCGTTATGTTCATGGAGCCGGCTAATAAAGTAAGAGGCAAGGAAACAAAGATGAGGGCAGCAACATACATGATATCTACACTATTCTGTGTCTTTCCCCACTTGCCCAATACTTTCATAGTACTGGGCAGCTGGTGAAACTCATTCACTTTTTCACTTCAACACTCTTCACCCCAAGTTTTTATACTCTTCAGTGAAATGGAAGGACAACTGTTATAGACTTTGGTCTGAAGTTACACTAAGAAAGTTTTAGAAGAAGGAAACATCAGTGGCTCCACTATGAAATCATCTTTATTCACTTGGCAGGAAGGTGTGTTATCTGCTTTCTGCACCAGGATGGAGGTCTATAGTGACTGCTTATTACTCCTTGGGGCAACCTAAAGGCTGCAGGGGGCATGGGCAGCAGCTCCCACTGACCAAGTTGACTCCCAGCTCTTCCAGCTGCTTGAACACCAGAACTGCCAACTGTGTCTCTAGTCCAGCCATTAGGCCCCTGGTCCACCAGCCCTAATGCAGGGCCTTAGGGTCCAGAGCACAGTGGTGCTGGGCACACAGCAAGCAGTTCTCAGAGTCTGGGCTTCAGGGGTGCTTCTTTGTCCTCCTCCTCCACACATAATGCCAATTTTACATAAAGACCTATCTTTCGAGCCTAATTATGCTGGTATGTGAAGAATGTGTGTATAGCAGAAGAAAACAGTGCTGTACCATATTCATGACTGCTGGAACGTTTCAGTCAATTTTGTGGGTTTTTTATCAATGGAGTTGTTGTTGTTGTCAGGTGCCATCGAGTCAGAACCGACTCATTAGCGATCCCATGCACAGCAGAACGAAACAATGTCCAATCCTAGGCCAACCTCACTACCGCCGCCACACTTGACGCCATCAATGAGGCCACCTGGCTGATACATCTTGTTGGGGGTCTTCCTCTTTTTCTCTGACCCTCCACCTTACCCAGCATGACATCCTTCTCCAGCGACTGTTCTCTCCTGACAATGTATCCAAAGTATGAGAGACGAAGCCTAGCCATCTTGGCCTCCAAGGAGCACTTGGCTGCACTTCTTCCAAAACAGATCTATTGGTTCTTTTGGCAGTCCATGGCACTTTCAGTATTCTTCTCCAACACCACAACTCAAAGGCATCAATTCTTCTACGATCTTCCTTATTCACTGTCCAGCTTTTGCATCCATATGAGGTTACTGAAAATACCATGGCTTGGGTCAGGCGCACCTTAGTCCTCAAGCTGACATCTCTGCTCTTCAATACTTTAAAAAGTTCCTGTGCAGCGGATTTGGCCAATGCAATACGTCAATGGAGAGTTCCCCTCAATTTTGCCTATCCTTCACTTTTGCTAACATGATGATTGTTTTTTTGATTTTTCTAGCAATTGATCTTTCCTGACATTGTGTCCAAAGTAAGTAAGCTAAAATCTGAAGATCCTTGCTCCTAAGGAGAATTCTGGTGACATTTCTTCTAAGACTTATTTGTTCGTTCTTCTGGCAGTCCATGATATATCCAATCATCTTTCCCAACACAACTCAAATGCATCTACTGTCTTCCTTTTAAGTAACTCTCGCCATACCATTGTCAGGTGTATGATTTGATTGTACCCTACATGTGTGCTAATGAAATTAATGCTACTGTTTTATGGATGCTGGCAGAAGACATGAGATTGCTGCATCAGAGAAAAAAGACTGTAATATCCATGGCATAGAAAGCAACAGTCATCAACATGTGTGCAATGGTTCCCCTTGACCCCAAGTTCCATTAGGGCAATGCAGAGGGCCCATAAGATAATTGCCTTCACAGAAAAGGAAAACTGAGCTTAGGGGATCATTTACTTTTGTAGAAAGCAGTAGGTAAACGAGCTAACCTGGATTTTTGGCCTGGAGGGAAATATTACCTGGTTCTCCAAGGTTTCTTGTCACAACCCAGAGAAATGGCTTTTCATTCTTGGTTACCACTAGAAAGGCATGTGGACGAGAAAGTGGCCCAAAAAGAACTGGCTGTCCCTATAGCAATCTAGTGTTTTTCATTTCCTTATGTAATTTTTGTATGTTGTCCCTAGGTCAGAATAAGATGTGCAACTATTTATCCAAAAGGACATCTGCAAACTGCAACAACAGAATATATAACGCTTATAGTAGCGTAGTGGTTACGAATCGGGCTGCAAACCTTAAGGTCAGTGGTTTGAAACTACCAGCCGCTCCGCGGGAGAAAGATGAGGCTTTCTACTCCCGTAAGGATTTACACCCTCGGAAACCCTGTACAGGGTCGCTATGGGTCGGGACCGACTCGAAGGCACTTCACAACAACAACAACAATAGTTTCTGCAAAAACTCAGAGGACTGTCCCCTGAGCAACTTCAAAAGAGGTCCCAACACTGCCAATTACTTCTGCCTAAAGAAAACAATAAAAACACTCAGATCACTCCCCTTATTGAAGCAAATATATGGGATCCATCCCCAAAAGGTGTTTGTATGTGTATGTGTCTATGTTTTGGGGAAAAGAATGGAGACTCAGATCTGCCCAGCCATTTGAAGGAAATTAAATATTCCAGATATTACTTAGAATGAGAAATATCTGGAAGTTGCTTAATAGTGTTCTAGGCAGAGAACTTATCTCATTCACTGTTGTTAGTTGTTGTGAAGTGCCATCGAGTCGATTCCGACCCATAGAGACCCTGTATAGGGTTTCCAAGGAGCAGCTGGTGAGCTTGAAACACTAAACTTGCAGTTCAAATGACGATGCTGTCTGGAGCTTTAACCCACAGCGCCACACTGCCTCCCCTCATTATTTTTTTAAGAGGTTAAACTTAACCCCAAAAAGGTAGCAACCTTTCATAATAACAAGCATCTAAAAAATGTTCCTCTTTCAACTCGTGACCAAGTGTCTTTGTTCTACCAACTCCTTGGATTCCACATACCTTCTGATTTTGGCATATAGCCACCTAAACCTCCTCCTTTTCTAATAAAAACCAACAATCAGGACAGCTGTCTTCATGTTGATGCCGACTCATGGTGAGCCTGTGTGTTTCAAAGTAGAACTGCCCCTCACATGGGTTTCAGTGGCTTTGCCCTTTCAGTAGATAGCTTTACCTTTCTTCTAAGTGGATTTGAATTGCCAACCCTTCAGTTAGTATTCAAGTGCTTAACCATTTATACCACCTCGGAACTCCTTTCATACTCCAATGCCTCTGTTGTTGTTATTAAGTGCTGCCGAGTTGATTCTGGCCCAGAGCAACCCTGTACAGAGTTTTCGAGGAGTAGCTGGTGAGCTTGAACCACCGATCTTGCAGTTCAAATGCTTTGCCGTCTGGCGCATTAACCCAAGTGCCACACCAGGACCAAAACCAATACCCCACCATTACACCTCACTGTGTCCCAAGAGCACCTCGTTTATGTGTTAACTACAGTACAACAGTAATCCCTTATGCAAACTACAGTTTCATCATGACATCTCAGATGAATGTTAGGAAATCTTCTAGAGCATTGTTTAGAATTCCGTTTCTCAATCTTTAAGGTGCAATAGAAACAAACAGAAGACCGGATTGGCTAAGTCTGGGGTGGGGTTCAAGAATGTGCATTCTCAACAAGCCCCTGGGCTAAATGGGCTGTTGATGCAATGGATCCATAGCTCATTCTTTCAATAGCTCTGTTTGTAGAACATCTATGTCTAACCCTTAGAGTCTAGAATGGAAGGGTCTTCCAGAGTACCTCTCAGAGCAGCTTCCTCTCTGACCTGGAGTCTAGCAAACACAGCAAATGATGCCAGGATTGAATGTTCCTCCCCCTGCTTTCTGGATGAAAACCTAGATAACACTGGGGAGAAGAGAGAAGGGAAGAGACTCAAATGTCTTTAACACAGAGAGGTTTGCTCTCAACTGCAATGGACTGAGTTCACTTGAGTTGGCACATTCACGTTTTTCCACGTTAGTTAAAATTGAACTTGTGAGATACTCTGAATTCATTCTAGAGAAAGATACAGTTACATCATTAGCCAATCTGAGTGAATTCAGTCACCACAGGAACCAAAAATAAACCCAAACCCACTTGAAATGAAGTCAATTCCTACTCACAGCTAAGACTAGGTAAAAATGGAAAAATTACACAATCAAAAGGTTGCCTGGATACATTCAGTAACAATATGCAAGTTGTTTTTCAAACAATAGAAAAAAAGTTCATGCATTTTTGGCCAAATGTCTTCCAACAATATTGCTATTGTTCGCTGCTATCCAGTTGATTCCCATAAATGTTAAGCCACTGCCACAGAGCTGATGGTGACTGATGTTGTTGTTGTTACTATGTGCTGTGGGGTCGGTTCCGACTCATAGTGACCCTGTACAGGGTTTCTGAGGCTGTAAATCTTTACGGGAGCAGAAAGCCTCATCTTTCTCCAGCGGAACAGCTGGTAGTATCAGAATTGCTGACCTTGCGGCTCGCAGCCCGATTTGTAACCATTACGCTACTAGAGCTCCTGATGGTGACTGATAGTGACCCTAAAGGACCGAGTAAAACTGCTCTTTAGGGTTTCTTACACTATACATCATTACAGGTACAGGCAGCCTCATCGTTCTCCCATGGAGCATCTGCTGTGTTTGAACCACTAACCTTACAGCAAGTAGGCCAATGGCTAAACCACAGAACCACCGGGGCTCCTCCAGAAACTTCAGATGACTAATTTTCTAATTTACACTCTCAACACCCTCTGACTTGTACCTCTTTGTCAAATCCATTCTGCAGATC